CCCAGGGAAACTCCCTTTACACTGGATCAGGGATGTAACCTTAGTAAGCCTGCTACAATCCCACCCTAATCCTCTTTAACATAAAATTACAATCATAAAATGGAGGACAACCACACAATACTGGGAATCATGGCCCAGCCAAATTGATACACACATTTTTTGGTGGACATAATTCAATCCATGACAACTATAAACAAAATTCTTGGTGGACAGTTTTTTTTTTTTTTTCCTTTTCATTCGTTTAACACTTTGAATATGTCATTTCACTGCCTTCTGGATTCTACTGTTTCTCATGAAAAGCAGTCATTAAGAGTATTGTTGTTCCCCTGTATAAGCTGTTTTTCTCCTGCTGCTTTCAAGATTTTCTCTTTGTCTTTCAGCTGCTTGATCCTGATGTCTAGATGTGGTTCTCCGTGTTTATTCTACCTGGGGTCCCCTGAGCTTCTCAGATCTACACATTAATGTTTTTCACCAAATTTGGAAAGGTTTATGCAATTATTTCTTCAATTTTTTTCTCCCTCTTTCTATCTCATCTCCCTCTGGTATGTCCATTACATGTATGTACTGCATGATACTGTCCCACAGAATTTTAAGGCTCTGTTCATTTACCTTCAAACATTTTTCTGTTCTTCATACTAGATAATTTCTACTAATCTATCTTCAAGTTCATCAATTCATTCTTTTGCTCTCTCCAATGTGTTGTTGAGAACAACTAGTGAATTTTTCATTTCCATTATTGTACTTTTCAACTCTAGATGTTCTATTTGCTTCTTTTCTATAGTTTGTATTTCTCTATACAGATTCCCTATTTGTTGACTCATGCTCACCACATTTTTCTTTAATGCTTTTAATACAGTTTCCTTTAACTCTTTAAATGTATTTGTAATAGTTGTCATGAAGTCTTTTTCTGCTATACCCAACATTTGGGCCCACTCAGTTTCTACTGATTCCTTTTTTTGCTGAGTATGGGTCCCATTGTCCTTTTTTTTTCCTATGTCTAGTAATTTTTGGTTGAAAATCAGACATGTTGATTTATACATTTTAGCACCTTTATATTCTTATTTTTCAGTCTGGCTTCTCAGAGTTACCCATATGTCTGCATAGCTTAGTGTTCAGCTAATAACTTGGGCAGAGGTTGTGCCGTAACATTTTAAAGCCCATAAGGCTCTACTCTCTGCCAGTTAATCCATACAAATAAAGACTGGGGAAAGCATTCAAAGTTGTAGTCAATTCTCAAATTTCCCTTGGTTTTCACTTTTTACCAGGCTCTCTTGGGTCTCCCTCGGGTATACATAGTTTCACAGTTAACCAGGGATGCGTGGAGAGCTTATCTCAGTCTTTCAAAGACTCTTATTTCCAGCATTTTTTCAACAAAATTTTGACTAATTTGCTTACCCCAACCAGGAATGGATCTTAGCCAACGAAGCTAAGGGTTTTTTATGGACTCAAACTAGGTCCATCTCCTCTAGCAGTAAAGCTACTGGTTTTCATGGCCAGCTCCTAGCTGTTAAAACCCGCAGCTCGTATCGAATGAGTGTGGGTTGGGATGGGGTGTGGGTGTAATGCAATGAATTCCCTTACTTGGCCTTCTGCTCTTGGTTTTTGGAAAAATAACCTTAGGAGATTTCCTAAGTAACTACCTCTAAGCACAGTTCTGTCTAAGCAGTGCATCCAGTGACCTACAAGGAGCATGTGGATAGGCTAATAAAAAGCCCTGGAACCTGGGTGTTCACAGCGCTTTTCTGCTCTGAGAGCTGTCCTGATTGAGAGCTGTCCCAGCCGAGAGCTGTTCTGGTTGATGAAGGAACCCTTCCAGGTCTCACCCATGTACCTCTTCTTGACACTGATGCGAGTTATATACTTTTACCCTAATAAATCATGTAACTGTAAGTACAGTCCCTGAGTTCTGTGAGATATTACAACGAATTATCGAACCCAGCACAGAAAGAGTGCCGTGGAGAACAGCTGGTGTCAGAGATATGGAGAAGCTGGACAGCACGGATATACTTGATCTCTGCCTGACAGGAACCAGCTTATACTGACTATTATTCAAGAAGTTACCTGTCAGTGGGTGGTGGGGTAAAATGATGGGAAGAGAGAAGCCTCAAAGAGGAATGTTGCAGACTCTTGCATTCTGACTCAAAGCTCTAGAAGCTTTTCAAGAATACTTCCCAAGTTGCTGCCTACCGTCAGGTGATTTCCAGCGTTCTTTAACAATTTTTTCCAGTTTTATACTTCTTTTGCAGAGAGGAATCATCAACCCCTCTGCTGCCTCTCTGAAGTCCCTCCTCCAGAGAAGCCTTTTTTTTTTTAAAGAATATGGTAGGAAAAAAAAAGTCTGAACATATTATTTAAAGATCTTGGCATAAACATATTCATTCAGCCCACAACTTATTTAGTGTAAAAATATTGTGGAGGAACAACTGGGAACCTAATTTGCAATGTAAACTTTCACCTAAAACACAACAAAATATTAAAAAAAAAAAAAAAAACCGTTGTGGAAACAACAAAAATGAATGACACACGGACTTCATGGAGTTTAGGTAAAGCAGCACATATTATAATTAAATGGCTAGCACAGAGTAAAAGCTATACCTTAAAAGGCAATAAAGCTGAAATGTATGGCAATAGGAAGAGGGGAAAGAGTGAGATTCCACAAAATTCAAACAAAGCACAGCAATAAAAATCCAGAATTCATATGTGAATCTACCTACTTTGAAGCCCATGTTCTGCCTAAAGTACAAGAGTATGTGAAAAGAACTAGCGGGAAATAAGGTTAAAAGGGTAGAACCAAGTTAGATTGTAACAGGTCTTGAAGCTAGACTAAAAAGGGCTGGTCTTTATTAAATGGGTAACGAAGCGCAACTGAAGGTTTCTGAGCAGGGAAGATCAACAACAAGGCTCCAACTGCGCTTTAAGATTAACCAGAAAATAATGTAGGGAGGATTAGAAAACAGTATATGTTGTGGTTACTTAGATATGTCATATGAAAATGCTTTTAAACTTCTAGCAAGTACACATGGTTTATAGAAATCTAACCCTCCTTTTTAGATTACAACATAAAAGTGATCTCCAAAAAAAAAGAATTTAGGAGGCTTCTTAAGCTTAAGTCCCCCATACATTTGTCAGTTTGTCATACTGTCACGGCTTACGTGTTGGGGTGGTGTTGGAAGCTATGCCACCAGTATTCAAATACCAGCAGGGTCACCCATGGCAGACAGGTTTCAGCTGAGCTTCCAGACTAAGACAAACTAAGAAGAAGGACCTGGTGGTCTACTTCTGAAAAAAGTTAGCCAGTGAAAACGTTATGAATAGCAGTGGAACACTGTCTGATATAGTGCTGGAAAATGAGCCTCTCAGGTTGGAAGGCACTTAAAAGATGGCTGGGGACACAGTGGCTGCAACAATGAACTCAAGCATAACAACGATTGTGAGGATGGTGCAAGACCTGGCAGTGTTTCGTTCTGTTGTACACAGGGTTGCTATGAGTCAGAACCAACTCGACAGCACCTAACAACAACAAGCTTAAGTAGCCTAATTATGGTGATTTTTTAGGCTTAAGATCTTCAGTATAAGGAGTCATTTTATTCCACATTAGTAAAATGATCATTTACTAAACTGTTCATCAAATCACCAAGAAAGAAGTAAAAGAATAATAAAAACAAGATCACATTCAATCACATCTCCATGTCCTGTTAAAGGGTTGGAAAGGCGTATAACTCGAGTTAAGCAAAGTGCTCAGTACATCACTAACAAACTGGACTTTCTAATTGTTGTTTATAGAAGCTAAGTTAGTCATCTTGACCATGTTTGAGGAGACTGAAGGAACCAATACAATTTAACAATTACCTGCTTAGAATCTGTGAAGGAAACCTAAACTTTTCCACAAAGTCACTGAAACAGAAAACCAAACTCTTGCCATTGAGTTGATTCCAATCCACAGCGACCCTATAGGACAGAGTAGAACTGCCCCATAGGGTTTCCAAGGAGCGGTTAGTGGATTTGAACTGCTGACCTTTTGGTTAGCAGCCGCAGCACTTAACCACTGCGCCGCCAGAGCGCCAAAAAAAAGTCATTAGGATCCCAAAAAAGAATCTATAAGCACACCAAGAGTTTCACTACTCATGACACGAGTAGTTTTCAAAAATTACATATTGTAAAGTTCAATGAATAGCAAACACTAACATCTACCAAGCTGATCCAAATTATCACCAAGCTTTGGAAACTCTATATCCAATTTATTCCAGTTTGCCGCATGCCTACTACTTTACTTCAGATCACTATCAGCTCTTATCTGAATTATTGCAGCAGCCCCTTACCCTACCCTTACACCCACCCCATCCATCCTCCACATAATATCCAGAACTGTTTATTACAAAGGTTAGTTCAAACTTCTAAAAGAGGCTTTACAAAACTCTTTAGATCCGACCTCTTCATGGTTTCCTAACTTCTTCCTTTACCATTACTATACTTAACCCCACTCAATATCAAAACACCCAGAATGTGTTCTGCCATATACACGATAGACTTCAGCCATACTCAGCTATTTTAGTCCCCTAAGAGCAACAGCTGCCCTTAAAGACTCTGTACATGGTACTTCCTCTACCTGCATTGCTCTCCCCACTCCCATCTCTTTTTTTGCTAACTCTCATTCATCATGAAGTCTCATTTTAAATGCCAAGTCCTGTGATGCCTTCTTTGGCCACTGCTTTCCCCTAACTCTGTTTGATGTGCCATAACACTCTGCATTTAGCCCTCACATAGCAATTCTTACTCTGAATCATAATTGTTAATTTATCTAATTTTCTTTCCTAATATAAACTACCTGAGGGTAGGGGATAGTGTCTTATTCACTACCATGTCATCTAGCTCAATGCCTAAGCCAGAATAAAAACTGAACAAATTTGTTCAGTGAGTTGTGAATGAATGTTTTATAAAAGGTACTTCATTCAGAGGGGGCACAAAGCAGTTTTGAAAACCTTAAGAAAGAAGAAATATACCTGTCTTTCCAACTCTTGTCCAGTTATGCCAGCCTCTACATGAGCTGTCAGATTATTTTCATCAACCCAGAGGATTCGATTCTGTTATAAAGGAAAAAAGAAGTCTGATTTCCATGAACTACTGACATGTATTTTTTCAGGAAATAAAACTTTATAACTCAAAGCAGCAAGTGACAAGATAGTAATTAAGTCAGTAGGGTTTCCCTCCCCCACATTGGAAAGCTCCACTTATCTCGAACTACACAACATGAGAGACATAGTAAGAAAGGCAGTAGATTATGTGGAGGTTGGTTAAAAACATACGCTTTGTCTTTAGTCAGGTATTAATTTGAATTAAACATTACCTCTTACCTTAGGCAAATTATTTAACTGTCTAAGCTTAGTGTTTCCTCATTTGTAAAATGTGGATAGTAATAATATCTACTCAGAGGGTTTCTGTCAGAATGAGATGAGATACTACACATAAAAAGCTTAGCATACACAGGTCCTGGCATTCTGCAAATACTATCTGCACTACTGTCAACATAGTTAGCAATCTTTATCTAATTTAGAAATATCACAAGATAGCAATAAGATTAGAAAAGACACCTGCAAAGACATTTGAAATATAGTAAATGGTATTTCTACTTTATTTTCGATCCAGAATAGAATCAGAGACCTCAGGTAAACAAGAAAACCACATGCCTGCCTCATGCTCAAAACAAGAAACTGAGTATCATCTGGCTCAACTTGCCAAATGTATGACTGTCATTAAAAAATGTTTTTTAACATTCTTATTTTAACTAATTTTTCATTAATTACTTTCTATTTTTAAGAGCAGACTCTTCCATCCCTCCTATTTGGCTGAGCAATCAAGTAACACACAGAATCCTCCTCTGGATTCCAATGAAGCTTTATTTGCACTTTGGCATGCTCAGTTTCATGGCAATAACCAATGCAGGTAAGTCTAATTAGTAATAAAAAAAGGAAGAGACACAATAGATAATATAAAAAGAGGTATATGACTAAATTACAAATTGGAACACATACAAATAAACCGTACTGTTTAATTCACAAAGCTATGCCACACCATGCCATGCCAGTTGTTAATGAATCAATTTCAACTCATGGCAACCCCATGTGTGTCAGAGGAGAGCTATGCTCCATAGGGTTTTCAATGGCTGATTTTTGAGAAGTAGATTACCAGGCCTTTCTTCCAAGATGCCTCTAAAGGGACTCGAACCACCAACTTTTTCATAGCAGCTGATCATGTTAAGCTTTTGCATCACCCAGGGACTCCTACAGGGCAATACTAAGCACTAAATAAGATGATGTATGTGAATGTATTTTTTTGTTTTATGTTATATAAAACCATCTGTGACAGCTAACATTATTTTGTCAACTTGGTTAGGCTATGATTCTCAGTGGTTTGGCAGACATCATGTAATCATCCTCCATTTTGTGATCTGATGCAAGCAGCCAATCAGTTGAAAAGTGAGTTTCCTTGGGGGTGGGGCCTGCCTCCAGTATATAAATGTATGTTCTGATAAAGCTCTCTCTCTAGATGCTGCACACTTCCCATTGCCCGACCTCCAGTTCTTGGGATGTGAGTCAGCAGAAGCCTTCAGCTTGCCACCTGACCCACAGATTCGGGACTTACCAGCCCCCACAGCTGCATGAGCCATTTCATTGAAGTAAATCTCTCTCCATATATTTATATACATGCTTCACTGGTTTTGCTCCTTTAGAGAACCCAAATACTCTTTACATACCAAAAACCAAAACCCTTGCCATCAAGTCGATTCCAACTCACAGTGACCCTATAGGACAGGGTAGAACTGCCCCATAGGGTTTCCAAGGAGCAGCTGGTGGATTCAAACTGCCAACCTTTTGGTTTGCAGCCAAGCTCTTAGCCACTATGCCACCAGGGCTGCACTCTCTACATAAGAGTAATTTCAAGGTAACTACGGGGAAAATCAGGTTTTTGGTCTTACAGCAACTATACAAAAGGAAGTATTAAACTATAGAATAAAAAGACAAAGAATTTATTAAGCTGATGGCACTTTACATTGTACACATCTCCTCCTCCCAACAGATTGGTTCTTGAGGCAGTTCTATACTTGTCCTAATTATACACCTTATACTTATCAGATATCCATATATGTAAGAAATTGAAGGAGGCAAAGAAGAAAATCACCTTGATGGGAGGTTTAGAGAAACCTAAAGAAAATGTACAGGCTATTCTATTATATCCAATAACTACTACCCAATCTAAGTTAACAATTAAAAGAAGAACAAAAACTTTCTATTACCATATATACTTAATTATAAAAATGGCACAACTCTAATCTTCCTACATATCAAATCAGAAAGGGACACTGGTAGCATAACCGTTAAGTATTTAGCTGCTAACCAAAAGGTTGGCTGTTCAAAGCCCCCCAGAGGCTCTACAAAACAAAGGCCCAGCTATCTGCTTCTATAAAGATTACAGCCCAGAAAACCCTATGGGGCCATTCTACTACATCACACAGGGCAGCTATCAGTCTAGAATCAACTCAATGGTACCCAGCAACGTATCAGAAGTACACTGTGCAAAATCATGCACAGATATGGCTTACTGACTTCAGTCAAATCACAGTTATTGAATACCACTCATCTATAATATCTGAGACAGTTCAAGATTAAACTGAATATACTTTCTCTGCAAAATAAATGCTTAGAAAAACTGCATTTAAATTTCTACCACAGAATTTTAAGCATCTACTCAGGGTCAAACTGGACAATATATCCTTTTTCAATAACAACTAAGACCGAGTCATAAAGACGTTTTAAACAGAAAGCTGTTTTCTAATACTTCTTTAATTATCACATACCATTTGTGAAGTATCCAAAGAAATAATGGTTCTTGTCTCATCTGCAGGACACATCAGGCCATATGAAACACTTGTTCCTCCTGTCAAAATAGAAAACAACTTTATGTTTAAATATATTTAGCTACATTTCTAAGGCAAACCCCTAATACAGAGTACAGACATGCCCGCTAACAAAGTGATACCTATTTCCACTTTGCAAAATATGGTTTGCAAATGCTAACACACTGCAAGTAAACTCACCTTTATTTTATGCTGCGTGCCAAAATGAAGAAATATTATGAAGCTCAAAGCAATGGGATATGACTTCATTCCCTGGGTATGGCACACTCAAGTGAAGCCCCTAGCAATTTGTGGAACTCCAAAACCACGATTAGAAAAGTTCTAAACTAATGATTACTGTGGATAGTTAGCTTAAAAGAAAAAATTACTATTCTATAAAAAATTAAAGACATCATTACCTCCTTTCTATCATAATTATGAGATTCATTTATCATTTAAAATAATATTTTCTATTCCCATGCCAAAAGGCTTTAGTGAATTAAAATATATACAAGTTAGAATTGTCCAGACTATGCAATATACAAAAACAAGTTTATATGTTTTTTGGTGAAAAAGTGATTTTAATATAGAATAAATAATAAATACAAGAATCTAAACAATGTACTGCTGTTTTCCCTTGACACTGGATCTCAAAGGAAAAATGCTTCTTTCACATCAATAAAGAAAAATACAGTGTTCTCAGTTCTTAACAAGATCTGTATCACCATATATCAGAATAATTTCTTAAATGGTACTTTCATGTGTTTTGGACAGAAAATATGTGGAAGTCACCTCAGTACAAGAATTATAGGGGGTGTTGATCTATAGGGTTCGACTAAATTTTACAAGGGGAAACCATGAATTGTCAGTTAAGAACATGATGTCTACAATCAGGAACCACTATTTACTTGTCCCAATCATTTGAAATCAGAGAAAGATTCATAATAAAAAGTGACATTGTGGTGCTTGTTTGGTTTTTTTTTCATGAATTCAACAAGTAAAACATCAGTCGAAGAGGGAATTCAGAGCTTTTGGATTTGTTGGGGCCCCATTTCCATTCCATCAAAGGCAATTTAGTCAGTGAAGGTAATTCCCTTTGGTTTGCATAAACTGGCAAAACATTACGGTGGATAAAATACCCAGAGAGATCAAATTTGTCTTAAAATTCAAAAACAGCATTAGTTTTCTGTATTAACAGATATTATTGATTTGATCATCACTAAACTGGTTAATCTTTTACTTTGCATAGCATTCCTTCTCAAAAGGTTATACTGGTTATATTTAGCCTTTGGAAAATAAAATTCTCTCCATAAACATACAAGTTGGAAAGAAATTATTAAAGCAGAACTTGTTTAGGCATTAAACCACAGTTTCAACTAGGACCTATATGGGAAAGAAGCCACAAACTGAGCGTACACCACATCTCAAAAGTTTTGTTGGATCTACTTAGAACAGTAATGAGCACCATAAATTTTTAGACTAACCATATTACAATTACAAAAATGTTGTTTTTCAGTGAGACGACACAAGTTTACATCATATTAAAATTTAAAAGGTGCAATACCTACCACCAAATGGTATGATACAAAGGTTATATTTGCACGCTAGATTCACAATCTTAACTACATCATCATGACATGCTGTTGAAAAAAAGGAAAATAAATTAATCACAGGGATATGAATAACCCTGCAAAATAAGGGTCTATAAAGTTCTTTAGTGTCTAAACTTTTCCTTCATTTATTCACTAACACATTAAATCTATTAAAACAGGCTGTTTATTTATTTTTTAACTTATGATTTTGAAATAATTTTAGACTTATAAAAAAGTTGTAAAAGTAGTACAAAGAATTTCCCTCACCTAAAAAACCAAAAAAAAATCAAACTCACTGCCATCGAGTTGATTTCAACTCATAGCATTTCTAAGGAGCAGCTGGTGGATTTGAACTGCTGACCTTTTGGTTAGCAGCCATAGCTCTTAACCTACTGCGCCACCTGCATCCCTAAATGTTAACGTTACAGAGCTATAGTTCGATTATCAAAACCATGAAATACTAACACAATACTATAAACTAATGTACAGACCTTATTTAAATGTTGTCAATTATTCCACTAATGTCCTCTTTTCTGGACCAGAACCAAATCCAGGATCACACACTGCATTTAGTTATCATTTCTCCTTATTCTTCATTAATCTAAGACAGTTCTTTCACTCTCATGTCCTTGACACTTTTGAAAAGTATTCGTCAGTTATTTCATAGAACATCCCTCATTTTGGGTTTGTATGATGTTTCTTCATGATTAAATTAGGTTATACAGCTTTAGCAAGAATTCCTTTCTCAGTGCATTATATCCGGAAGTGGAAGATGTAGACATGTCTCATTTCTGGTAATGTTAACTTTCATCATTTGGTTAGCTGGTGTCTGCTAGGTTTCTCAACTATAGGATACTATATTTCTGGTTGAAATTAATAAATATCTTGTAGAGAAATACTGAAGACTACATAAATATACTTCTCATACCTTCACACCCACTAAATTTAGCATTCATTGATTCTTTATTCTCTATTCTGTTTTTTAAACAAATGTTAAAATATTACTTATAATATATTGCACATGAATTCTTTTCTATTGTAAATAACAGATACTCTTTATCAATGTAAAAGTTACATAAGTAATGAAAACTTAATTGTAGACAATTTCATATGCTAAGTAAGAGGTGCTAAGACTCAGTTCAACTGGCAATAGGACATTAATGGAGCTTTTAAGGAGGGGAAAAACATGGCAAAGGAAATATTTTAAAAAAGACTATCACCAATAGGAAATTCATATCAAAATTAAATAAAGATCTCAGTGAATTGACAACCTGTTGGAAAACAAACTATTTCCAATAAGTCTTTAAACTGGAAGATTCAACAGAATAAGAGTATAAACTTGATTTGGTCAGCAATACATCATTCTTGTAGATGCCTGAGGTATGAAACAAGATGGCAAAGAGAATACTTTAGAAATTAACCTCTCAACGGTGTAGGGGAGGGACAAGAAACTTAAGGCAGGGAAACCTTTAAGATTATTGCAAAAATCTAGGTATGTACTGATAAGGGCCTGAATTGAAAAGCAGGACGGGAAAAAAAAAATCAAAGGGCAAAGTTGTAAGGGAACTAATCAAATGGGAAGGATTTTACAAAGCAAAGTATCTTCTGTGCGATGACTAACTCCATCTGTTTCCTAAATCTGGATTTTTATAAATATTTAGATTTCTTAAAGCAAGACACATATTGCCATTATAGTATTCTTCGTATTTTAATATTCAAATACACAAAGAAAATACAAACAAGGCACACTTGAAAATTCTACTCAAAATATATCAAAGTATGTTCTATTAGGTTTCCTGTGAGAAATTAAAATTGCTGAATTTTGCTTTCATTTTTTCCAGTGAAAAATGGAATGAATTTCCCTTAAATCTTGGTAGAAGTAGCCTAAAGCTAATAAAAAACAGGCAAAAAAAAAAAATATATATTTCTTCCATTTAAGGAGATCTTTTTCTTTTTTTTCCTCCAGGAACAGCAAAATTTCTCTACAAACTAACACAGACGAAACATTTATTTCATAACTATTTCAAGTACATAGAAAGATACATATCACAAGTCTATCAGGAGTGAAATTTCATCTCTGTTACATATGCTCTTGGGTTTTCCTGCTGCTTATCTTACTTCCCTCCTACCCCCATATTAAAGTATGATTTTTTTTTTTTTTCTCAGACAGTCCCTGCAAAGTAGAACCGTGGTATCTAAGAACTGAAAGTGCAGGAATGAGCCAATTTATTGAAAAATAAAATACTGTGTATATTCCTCCTATAGACTCTGAAGAGGAAAAAGGATTAGAAGATCATGGAACTTTTTAAAAAGGCAATTGTGTACAGCAAAGAACCATATACCTGTTCTGCTTTAAATTGTGTGCTAAAAGAGATGAGTACAAAAACCATATATATACATATAAGTATAGTGCTTAATCATCACCAAGAACAAAATAACAGCAGAAAGGAAAGCTCATCTATCATTTATCCCAAAGCAAATTCCTACAAGAAATTAATTTCTCAAAATTTAATTATTCAAAGACAATGTGTGTGTACATATATATATATACACACAATGTATATATACATATATGCATTGTAAACACATACTGTAAACAACTTATTTAGCCATTTGAACAGCATAATTTTTAGCCCACAAGTTATGGCAACAAATTAATACTAATAGTTTGTAGTAATCAATTTAATTAATAGTTTCTATACATCTGAATGTATCACTGGTTGATACTAATTTCAGTAAGCTTTCAAATTAAGCAAAAATACATCTTTCTACTGACATCCCAATATGATTATTTACATTCAAAGTGAACGCTTAATCATCAAAATCATTAACATCAACAGTACAGGACAGTAACAATACTAAATTAACGACACAAAAAGAAAAAAAAACTTACTCGGCCATAAAACTATATCAGGAATTCGCTGAAACATTCCTTCCCTGAGCATAAATATCTCATGAAGACAATGACCTGTTTTGTAGTTTAAAAAAGAAAAATGCAGAAACATCTTAAATTATAGGAAATTTTTTAATTTAAAGCTAATAATACTCAGATAAAATAGCTTACCATGAGCTCTAAATACTCGATCATCTGCTTCTTGTGAATATGAAATATTAGTTTCTTTAAGGTCATGAAGAAAATCTTCATTTACAATAGAAGGAGGTGTATCACTAGGGTTTAAGGATGCCTAGAAAATAAAATTGGTTTCTTTAGCTTATTCTAGAAAATAAATTTTGAATATCTCCAATAGGGAGAATGACTGTAACAAGTAGTTTTGTTTTGTTTTTAACATCCAAAGTAAGGCAGAAGCGTAGGAAAATATCAAATAATACAGAAACCAACTTTTTGATGATAGTTACAAATTAAAAATGGTCTGATTAATCACACTGTATAACATAAGTTATAGAGGTCCTGTTTTCCCTTTTGTTTCTATAGCCTGCCTTTTCATTGTATCATGATTGTCATTAAGCACAGGGGAAATAGCAAAGCTTCAAATCTTCAATTTTAGATTAAGGGGAGTGGGGAAAAGCTACTTGACTTTTGCATTGTCTACATTTTACCCATAGATAAAACTTAGCATTTCCTACACTTTGATTTCCATTACAAAATGATCAAAAATAAACCTCACAGTAAGTACAAAACCCATTTTTATAGGACTGTTTTAAAACTCACGACATAATTAAACTCAATTTCAACTAATAAGCAACCTGAAAAATAAATCCTCAATGTTATAGCTAAATCTGTGTGACAGTGGGCAAGTCACTCAACTTCTGTGAGCTGTGGCTTCTTCATCTGTTAAAAGAGATTATCACCACAAAATTTATAAGGCTACTGTAAAGAAGGGAGGTTAAATGTAGTAACTTTTGTGAAAAGCACCTAATAGCACGCCTAGCATATTGGAAGAGGTCTAGGAATGACTGGCCAAATCAAATCTGCTATGAGAAAAAAAAAAATTAAAAAAAAACCTATGACATAGTATTTGGGAAAAAGAAAAACATAAAAATATGTAAAGAAAAAATACAATACTTCTATAAAGATCGATATCCTAGCCATCAGTGATCTGAAATAGACTGGTACTGTCCATTTGGAATCAGACAATCATATGGTCTACTATGCTGGGAATGACAAATTGAAGAAGAATGGCGTCACATTCATCGTGAAAAAGAACATTTCAAGATCTATCCTGAAGTACAACGCTGTCAATGATAGGATAATACCCATATGCCTGCAAGGAAAACTATTACTCAAATTTCCACACCCACCACTAATGACAAAGACAAAGAAATTGAAGATTTTTACCAACTTCTGCAGTCTGAAATTGATCAAACATGCAATCAAGATGCATTGATAATTACTGGTGATTGGAATGTGAAAGTTGGAAACAAAGAAGGATCCATAGTTGGAAAATATGGCCTTGGTGACAGAAATGATGCTGGGATTGCATGATAAAATTGTGCAAAACCAACAACTGCTTCATTACAAACACTTTTTTTCAACAACATAAACGGCAACGACACATGTGGACCTCACCAGATGGAATACACAGGAGTCAAATCGACTACATCTATGGAAAGAGACAACGGAGAAGCTCAATATCATCAGTCAGAACAAGGCCAGGGGCCGAATGCAGAACAGAGAGACCATCAATTGCTCATATGCAAGTTCAAGTTGAAGCTGAAGAAAATTAGAGTAAGTTCACAAGAGCCAAAATACAACCTTGAGTACATCCTACCTGAATCTACAGACCATCTCAACAATAGATTTAACTCATTGAACACTATGAGCCAGATGAGTTGTGGAATGACATCAAGGACATCATACATGAAGAAAGCA